ACACCCTGAAAAACACAGGCAATCTGTCGCCGCCTATCAGGCTGCACACCCTGAAAAACACAGGCAATCTGTCGCCGCCTATCAGGCTGCACACCCTGAAAAACACAGGCAATCTGTTGCCGCCTATCAGACTGCACACCCTGAAAAACACAGGCAATCTGCTGTACTATATCAAGCCAAGAATACCGATGTGCATAGAGTGATTCAGTCACGGTATAGACAAAATACAATTCAGCGTGTATGGAAAAACAAGTTGCTTTCGGGTTTAGCGTATGACCCAGATATTGCTTATGGAACTGACAGCAGTGTTGTATTAGGTTCTATGACGTACAAGTGTCAGTGGTGTAACGCCTTGAAGTGGAAAGATGAAACACCGGGCCTGTGTTGTAGCGCCGGTAAAGTACAACTTAAGTCGTTTAAACAACCGGCTGAACCACTTTACAGTCTGATTAATGATTTACACCCAAATCATGTACACTTCATGGATAATATTCGAAAATATAATGCCTGTTTTCAAATGACTTCCTTTGGTGGAAAACAAATAAAAGAAGGCGGTTTTTCACCAACTTTCAAAGTTCAAGGACAAGTATATCATTTAATTGGAAGTATATTACCGGAACCTGGGCAGGATGCTCAGTTTTTGCAAATTTATTTCGTCGGTGAAGATGATAGAGAAGCTAATATTCGATGTTCTAAATTTCCTGATTTGAGACCAAATTTAATTAAACAATTACAGCTTATGTTACATGAGGTGAACCCATACATAAAAGATCTAAAAACAGCCATTGATAAAATATCACCTTCAGAGTCATTTAAAGTCGTAATACATGCAGATAAAAAACCACAAAGAGAACACAGAGGCAGATTTAATGCACCAACGGCAAATGAAGTGGCTATTGTATTAGTAGATCAGCATTTTGAGCGAAGAGACATCATTCTCGAAAGCCGAAGTAACTCACTTCAGCGTATCAGTGAGATACATCGAGCTTATGACGCGCTGCAGTATCCACTGATATTTTGCTGGGGGGATGATGGCTATTCAATAAACATACCACAATGCGACCCCACAACTAAGTCACCGTTGAAAAAAACAGTTTCTGCTGTAAATTTTTATTCATACAGAATAATGATCAGAGAAGGAGAAGATAACTTTTTGATTAAATATCGTGCCCTTTTTAGTCAATATTTGGTAGATGAATATGCAAAAATAGAAACTGAAAGACTAAACTATATAAAAAACAATCAAGCCAAATTGCGCGCAGATAATTACATTCATCTAAAAGATGCAATTGGACGGCAAGATACTGAAGCAAATCAGCTGGGACAAATGGTAGTGCTTCCATCGACTTTTACTGGTGGACCTAGATATATGCACGAAAAAACGCAAGACGCCATGACCTACGTTAGACACTACGGTCGTCCCGACCTTTTTATAACTTTTACATGTAACCCACGCTGGAGTGACATAACTGAGCAATTACTTTCAGGACAAAAATCTCATGATCGATACGATATTATTTCGCGTGTCTTTCGATTAAAGGTAAAAAAGGTCATGGATTTGTTAATAAAAGGGAAAATATTCGGTGAAGTGAGATGCTACATGTATTCAACGGAATGGCAAAAGCGAGGTCTTCCGCATATTCATATACTTTTATGGCTTCAACATCGTATCACTCCGGATCAAATTGACAATATTATTTGTGCTGAAATACCTAACCCTGATCGTGATCCTGAGCTTTACGAAATTGTTAAAAGTAATATGATACATGGCCCCTGTGGAAGTTTAAATCGTAATTCTCCATGCATGAAAGATAATTCGTGCAGAAAACGTTATCCTAAGGGTCTTATTAAGGAAACTCAAACCGGTGATGATGGTTATCCGCAGTACAGGAGACGTTCTTTGGATGACGGTGGATTCTCTGTCAATATTAAGGGTATTACAATAGATAATCGTTGGGTGGTTCCTTATAATCCAGTGCTATTAAGAACGTGTAACGCTCACGTGAACGTAGAGTATTGCCATTCAGTGAAGTCAATCAAGTACGTTTGCAAATATGTTAATAAAGGGTCAGATCAAGCTACGTTTACTTTAGAGAACGGGAAGGATGAAGTTTCTACCTACGCAAGTGGTCGATATATAAGTTCAGCTGAAGCAGCTTGGCGAATCTTTGAATTCCCAATACATGAACGTTTTCCTCCTGTAGTGCACCTTGCTGTCCATTTAGAAAATGGACAGCGAATTTATTTTAATGAGCAGAACTTGTGCGACAAATTGAGTAGTCCTCCTACAACTACACTCCTCTCTTTTTTCGATCTTTGTAACGTGGATGACTTTGCTAAAACATTGCTATATTCGGAAGTTCCTGCGTATTACGTTTGGAACAAGCGATCGTTTCAGAGAAGGAAGAGAGGAGTGAATGTTGAAGGATGGTTAGGGGTCAAAAAAGAACACGTTCTAGGTAGGGTATATACCGTTCATCCAAACAATACAGAATGCTACTATCTTCGAATGCTTCTTCATGAGATCAGAGGCCCAATTTCATTTGAAGCGTTGAAAACTGTAGATGATCACTTATATCCCACTTTCCAATCCACGTGCAAAGCTCTAGGTCTACTTGAAGATGATCGGCATTGGGATTCATCTCTTGAAGAGGCAGCACTTTGTCAATCACCGCATATGATTCGAGAGCTTTTTGCTATCATATTATTGTTCTGTCAAGTTTCCGACCCCTTACATCTTTGGGAAAAATACAAAGATTACCTTTGTGAAGACTTTAAAAAACAACTGGAAAGACAAGGTGATGTAGAGGTAAAACACTCATCGGACCTGATATTTAACAAATGCCTGTCGGTATTAGAGGATACCGTATTATCATTAGGCGGCCGTCCTCTTAAAGAGTATGGATTACCTCAGCCAATAACATCAATACATTTTGAAAATAGAGAGTACGTGAAGGAAACCAGTTACGATACAGTGATCTTAGAAGATACAGTAAAAAAAAATGAAGCTTCCTTGAATGACGAGCAACAAGAAGTTTACAATCAAATTATGACAAGTGTAGATGCAAATGACGGTCGCTTATTCTTTTTAGACGCTCCAGGTGGAACTGGTAAAACCTTCCTTATTAATTTACTTTTGGCGAAAGTAAGAAGTACTCACGGTATTGCCCTGGCTGTGGCGTCTTCCGGCATAGCTGCTACTTTACTCGAAGGTGGTCGAACTGCTCATGCTACTTTTAAGTTACCACTCAATTTAATCACTGCCGAGACCCCCATTTGCAACATCTCCAAACAAAGTAATTTTGCTGAAGTTTTAAAGAGTACAAAAATAATCGTGTGGGACGAAATAACGATGGCTCATAAAGGTGGTATTGAAGCCTTAAACCGATCACTTAAGGATATTAGGGGTAATACAAAATTAATGGGTGGCGTAACAGTGTTGCTGGCCGGAGATTTTCGGCAGACTCTGCCAGTGGTGCCAAAAGGAACCAGAGCTGACGAAGTAAAGTCGTGCATTAAGAAATCTAATTTGTGGACGCAGGTTAATATTCTTAAGCTTTCTAAAAATATGAGAGCACATTTGGGTGGAGATGGATCTGCTGATAGATTTTCAGATCTCCTCCTTAAAATCGGTAATGGTGATTTTCCATCGTTTGATGGAATGATAACCATCCCGGAAGAATTGTGCACAGTAGTTACTACGGTTCAAGAGTTGTTGTCTAAAGTTTATCCAGACATTATTCATATACATGACAAGCCTATTGAATGGTTATGTGAACGTGCCATACTTACTCCGAAGAACGATCAAGCAGCAGTTATCAACGATATCCTACTGATGTCGTTTGAGGGCGAAGAAAAGGTCTATACTTCGATTGATACTGTGGTTAATACAGATGACGCTACTAATTACCCTGTAGAATTTTTAAATTCATTAAAGCCGCCAGGTTTGCCTTATCATAAGCTTATTTTGCGTGTGGGCACTCCAATTATGTTGTTGCGAAATTTAAAACCACCAAAACTTTGCAACGGTACTAGACTGCAAGTGAAAGCGTTACATCGCAATATAGTGGAAGCCACTATATTAACTGGGTGTGCAAAAGGGGAAACTGTATTTATACCACGAATCCCATTAATACCTAATGATATCCCGTTTGAATTTAAACGATTACAGTTTCCCCTAAAAGTCTGCTTTGCTATGACAATAAACAAGTCTCAGGGGCAAACTCTCAAATTTTCGGGTATTGACTTGAGAGAACATTGCTTCTCACATGGACAGTTTTATGTTGCTTGCTCACGAGTAAGTTCACCCAACAACTTGATAGTTTTAGCGCCTAATCACAGAATAGTTAGGAATATTGTATACAAAGAAGTTTTGTAGGCCCAAATTCAGTGCGAATTGATTCTGATGAATTCTGTCAGAAGTCATTAACCTACGCGGACGAAGTCGCGGGCAACAGCTAGTTTTATTATAATTCAGAAAATTATGTTGATAATTACACAGATTCATAATGGTTTTGGTACTGTATGTAAGTCAAGGGCTACTTGTAAGTACCATAGTAACAAATAGTACTTGCTTTCTCTGATTTGGGTAAAGCAAGGTATTTTCCCATTGTAATTTTGTACCTATATGAAAGTGCACAGTATAGCATGAGCGGGAATAGTGTAGTCAAGAAATAAAGAATGGACATTACAGCGACAATTTATAAATAATATTTTAAGTGTGGGAGAGCCATGCTTAGGCATGAATGGGCCGGCTCGACCGGAGTGATACCACAGCCTCATAAGAAACCGACTTGAAACAACGCTTGCGTTTTATTTCGTCGTGTGAGTGAGGTTACCGAGAACCCAATTACGCCCTCCCCCTTTCCCGACCTCTCCAATTACTCTTTAAATTTTAATTATTCCCATTTTGTTTCCAGGCACAAAATGGTGTGGTGCAGGCAATGTGGCTGAAAACTATGATGATCTAGGCACTGAAAAGGAAGCAGACATGTGTTGCAGAGAACATGACAACTGTCCCGACTTGATTCCTGGAGGAGGAACTAAATATAATTTGACTAACGACGCTTTTTATACTAGGTAATGAAATACCAAAGTCTTATTTGGTTTCATCATATAAGTTTATTGTTTGAGTAATTACAATTACTCACCTTTACCTTCTACCACATACCTTTACCTTTTCCGTCATTTATGAATTTGAGTCGCTCACTGGGCGCCAATATTTAAAAATGGAACCCACGGTGGGCGCCAAAATCGGAACAAAAGCCCATGTTGGGCGCCATTTGCAAAATAACGATAATTTTTAAATTAGAGTTGTAAATTTTTTATTAATGACTATGCCATTTGTTTGATAACGAAAATTTATATTTTCCTAAACAAAGTCTTAAACTTTTCAGATTAAGTTGTACGTGTGACGAAAAATTCTTGACATGTTTGAGGTCTGCTAACACGAAGGTCGCCAGGTACATTGGAGTGATATACTTCGATGGATTACAAACCAAATGCTACAGAGAAGACTATCCAGTCACAAAATGCAATAAGAAAGGAGGGTATGTAGATGTTTCGTTTTGTTTTATGATATAACCCTGTCTTCGGGGATTTAATCCACGGATTTAGTAGGAAACAGATTTATCCGTAAGATCTAAGTATGGGAGAGCGATGCTTCGGCATGAATGGGCCGGCCCGACTGGAGTGATACTACGGCCTCACAGAAAACCGACTTGAAACAACGCATGCGTTGTATTTCGTCGAGTGAGTGAGGTTATCGGAGGCCCGATTACCCCTCCCCAATTTCCCTAATCCCCGAATTCTTAAATTCTTAATCCTCAAAAGACCGGTAACGAATTTGTATCACCTCTGATGTTTCTGGTGTCTATGGGCGACACCGATTGCTTACCATCAGGTGATCCGTCTACTCGTATACCGGCTTATTACATAAAAAATCCTGGTTTAAGATTTTATCTCAGTCATCTTAGTGCTTAGCATTTGGGCCTTTTTTTTTTAAGGTGGGAAAATCATCGAATGACTGCTCCCGCCTGGGTAAGGCGGAAGGGAGTGTCAGACTCTTACTGACTAAAAACCACCCCGTTCCTTCTCCTGCACGTCGAGCCGGAGCCCCGGTTACCCGTTAGGTTCTCCGCGACAAGCATTTGGGCCTACCGTATTTTTACTCACTGGATGGCGGCAGCGTAGACATCTCGTGCTTCGTCCAATGGAGAATTAGCTAGAGTCACACCATAAGACGTTGATTATTGGATAGCTGCTGTGACTGGAAAAGAAACTCATACCTACATTTGCGTCCCTTCAATCGTCAGCACCAATAGGTGTAGATGCCTAATTTTTATTTTAATGTCCGTCTGGTAGATTATTTTAAATCATTAGACACATATTTTTTATTTTCTTACAGAAACGAATTATTGATTTGAATTGTCGCGTGACGTCACTTCTATGTACATTTAAACGTAGAAATGACGTTTAACCCCCACTCCTAAACTTTAATTCGTTTTATCTAAGTATTGTTTTATTATACGACAAAATAAAAAAATACGTGTCTAATATTTTTTAATTGCCTAACTTACGGACTTGTTAGATTTTTAATTTTCATACCCTGTCGTCATCCACATTGGCTCACCTCGTGAGTTCATGATATGACGTAGCACAGTATATAAAGTGAATGTTTTTGACTACAGCAATCGAACTTACCAACCTTTTTAAAATCAATATAAATAAACCTGTTACTTAAAATGCTCTACAATTATCTATTATTTAATTTTTTCAGATGGTTCAAAACGAAATGCGTGGAATATTCGTACAATACAAAAGGGAAAAAGATCTACCAGTGGTTCGACGTGGAAGATTTCTGAAAAAAAAACGTGTGTCTAGACGATTTTAGCTTTAAATTAAGTGTACTTAAAGGACATTATTTATTAAACTGAGTGATTATTTATTTGTGATAGTGTGTTCTGCCTCTTTGGGAACTAGAAGTGATTGATGTTACGTTAAATCAGTATATGAGTACAAACTGAACTGTATTTGTGTTAAGTGCTTATTTAAGTATAGGTAAGCAGTTAGCGAAAGTATTTAATATGCAGGTAAGAAAATAGAGATTAATTCAGTATAGACAAGGTACAGACATGATATATAAAGCCTAACTTTACGTTACTATCAAATATTAACCGTGTATTGTAATTTTTTAATGGCTAGTATGTGGTTACTGTGTCCGTACTGAACCAATCTTTATACTCTTACCTACAGCTGTAGCAAAATGCCATTTAGCGCTTGTCTACTTTTTATCCCCTTTGGCAACTGAGACTTGTCTACTTGTAGAATAGAAAACTAAATTATATGGAATTGACGTAAATATTGACACTTGTCAGTGTCATTTCCATACATTTAGTTTTCTACTCTCTCGGTAGACAAGTGCTAAAGTGGCTTTTGGCTAAAGGCACTACAGCTGTAGCCAAATGCCATTTAGCGCTTGTCTACATGTAGACTAAAAAACCAAATTATATGGAATTGACGTAAATTTTGACACTTATCAGTGTCATCCCCATACATTTAGTTTTCTACTCTCTCTGTAGACAATTGCGCTAAAGTGGCATTTAGCTAAAGGCCCTGGATACTGAATAATTTGGCTGTTGATTGACTTTACAATGATGTTCTTTGAAACATTTCTGACAGCCACAGTCTGAAGTTGATGTTATTTTGTTATATTATACCTTGTTGTTTGTGATCAAGTATTATAGTAATACAATAAATAAAGAAGCGGCATTCGTATTATTTATTTTTCAGCATATTTCATTGGTACATTGTTAGAGATTTCGCCATAATTCATTATTCATAATATACAACTCTTTATATTAAATTATGCACACATGAATGCACGATTAATATACATAATTTATATTATCTCATAGGTATAAATAACCATACATTTAGTTACACATGTGATAAAAGATATGAGTACAGTTTTATAACAATATATAAACAAGTGAACAACTTCGAACCGTGTCGGAAACAACACTAAAATATCTTTATTAATGATAGAAAAACTTCAAATATGGGTTATACATACAATATAATGTAGATATGTAGCAGTGCTTAGCTAGAATATTGGAATGCGGGCGCTCGCATGATTATGTACAACCAGGTATATATATATATACATACGTCATACATAGTAGTGGGCTAAACTGTGGGGTTATATATTACGAGTGATTAACTAGGAATCGAAAGCTAATTCTGGATTTATACGTGAAAACGTTGAAATATACGAGAGCGAGAACTTTGTTTGGATAGATACGAAGCAATATAAAGGACTTAAAGAGAATCCCTTGTACGAAGTGAGCAATCTCCAAGTATAGGCTAGTCCAAGCGACCTTACCGACCAATATGTACAACAACAACTTGAGAACATTTATAAATTATTTCATCCAACGTCGCTATGCAGGGACCATACATGGGTCAGGTCGAATGTTTTCATTCATAAATTTATATATTTATTTATTTATTAATCAAAAGTGTGAAACGTTCACCGTCTCAATAATATTTGGTTTATCTAACACGTTTGTGTCGCAATGAAGTATATTATTATTTTAACGAATTCTATATATTTTCTAAAAGTAATAATATTTCATGCAAGCAGTCTTTTGTCGGATGGAAATGACAGTAACCTTCTTTATGTTACATGTCGCTTCCCACGCCAACAGATTACGATAAGAATTACACATTCTATGATGTTTTTTTTATTAAAAACTCCATATCAAAATTGTATGATATTTTCTTAAATGAATTAAGCGGAGGTCGACTGGGAAACTGAACTCGTTTCGAAACGAACCATGTTTTAACAACGTTTTAATTAATTCATAATATATATATTATATTATATTATACTTTGTTAAAAGTCTTAGCTCGTCCATGAAAAAGCTGGCAAGGAATGCTTCGTTAACAGAATGTACATCTATACGCATATGAAACAAGTATTTAGACATCTTCAGATACTTAAGTTTAGCAATAAGTTGTTACAAGTGACGAATGACGCAGTACTGTTAAGTAGGTATTATATTTAAGAATGATAAAGATGGTATCACGTCTACTATCACAGAATATTATTATTTCGAGAATAATCAAAGAATCAGCATATAAAGTTAATGCGCTTACACAATTCTTATTCAAAATATATTATCATGTAAGTATATTGAGTTGCAGCAGTTTGACATTACGATCGGGCGTCGGCAAATCTCAGTAGGCACCTATTGACCTATACTTACATCTTCCCAAGATTTACATATAGACTGTCGTATTCGTATAGTATGTAATACAAGTTATTTAACTTAGTGAACAGGATTTAGATATACAAATAACTTTATTCAATAATGTCATTTTTACACAGGGGAACGACTTACTTATATAGATGACTTAATGACGTCTTCGACGGCGGAGGCCGATCTATAATTGTACTATGTAATATATTGATCACAAATGGAGTTCATGGGACAGTTAAAGGTTCCTTCTTAGAAATTCATTAACAGTTAGTATTGATTCAAATTTTGGTCAATGGGACGGTCGCAGCAGCATCACGTTGCCTGCAATATTGCTCGAAGTATTGAAATTATCTAATAAATATTTGTATTGATAACATTAACAGTAATAGTTCTTACATTGAAACATGGTGAAATAAACATTTAAGTTTCAACTACTCATTTAGGATACATTCAGGTAAGTCACAGCTAGCGATCAAAAACGTAACGTAGAAAATCACAACAATTCTATGCCATAAGGATCGTGTAGTAATAACTAGTATATAATAACATTACAACTGTTCCTACACATAGTAAATAATGCAGATCCGATAATGTGTAAACAATTCACTCGATATCATAATCTAACCTAACAGATGGACGTGAGCCCAAGATATAGAAAGCATCGGGTACACGACTAGCCGGGAGCCCGCGGACTCCAGCCGAGGATGCTATTGAGACAGCACTAATACTCGGAATATTCACTAGACTGTGCGTTTATTGAAATTTACTATGTACAACATCTCCTAATTGCGTCAGGCAAGTACCAGCGCAGCGGCACTCTGAACAGAGTGGAGAGAAGCCCTGGCAACATCGTGCCCAGCGTCAGGGCCCCCCACAGCACGGCCACGACAGTAACTAAGCACATGAGCCAGTCCGTAGGGGCCACCGCTACTATTTCCCCCCCAGCCCAAATTTCATGAAAATTAGTTCTTTGCCTTTGCTGAGGATGTCCCCTCCCGGCGCCGTCATTTCGGAGAACTTCTGCATGAGGTTGGGCTGCGTGGCCGGGGTCGACGTCGCGGGAACCTGCACGTTGGGCGCCGGCACCACGGCGGGGCCTGCGCGCCGCGCCGGCGAGGCGGGGGTCGGAGCGCCCAGCGCCCCCAGCGACCCTGGCCCCCCGGGTGCGGCGCCGGGCGGGGGCGCGGCGGGCGACTGCACGGGCGGAGTGCCGGTGTTACCAGCGCTCGTGCGCGCGATCGTGTTCGGCGCCGGCCCGCTCGCCGCGCCTCTCGCCCTCGCCTGTGTCGCCAAATATATCTCACATACTGCACTGCTTGTGCTACTACGTTCTATCTGTTTTGGGATCAGCTTTCCTCAAAGGTCTAATCAACCCTCATAAATGCATGAGAAACCAAATGATACGATCGTAAAACATTCCCAAAACAGTTAAAACGCTTCAATAATAAAATTTGATTAGCGTGATCAAAGTTTGTGAATCAAGTTATGCAACAAGCTTTATAGATATAGGTACAATGACTGGGGACTGGTGCCTGATATTATTTGAAGTTTCAAAGATCTGATAAGCATTTACTTCAAAGGTCATTTCGCTCATTATTACAAGTACATTTTTAATTATTAAACAGTTAGGGCATTGCTTATAACATTAGTATTAAGTATGCGTGTCTTAAAATATTTACATATAGGTAAATAAAGAACACTTACATCAATACCTAAGTCACTCTGTGTATCATGCTATACAATATTGAGACAAAACATTATTATTTACAGATATCATATTACACACATCAATATAGTATAAAAACTGTGCAATAAAAAACATGCATTGCCATAAACAAAGCAGGTGGCATTTTAAAACGAAAGTGGTTGACCAGTTGTGTCAACCAACATTCACAATATTTTAAACATTTTTAGAAGTAATTAATCATCGGGGTCGTAATAGAAGCTCAGATCGTTAAGGGTAAGTAATTCATTCAGTACATTCGTCATGCTTCGTTAAACTACAACATTAAGCTCGAATTAGAGTATACTATTCGATTACGTAATGATAGACAAGAGCTCTCACATAAACGTCAAAGAGGTTGCTACAGTAAGGTGAAGTCACGCGTCATCACCAACGCAATCGTCTAGTAACGGACCACATTCACAGGCCTCAGAGATTGTAGTAACATGGTGAATGGGTTATGGTATCTGATGTGAGTGAAGTACGCCAGTGTATGTTCTGTACTAGTCTCTGTATGATTGGTCTGGTATGCGATGACAGCTAATGATGTGTAAACAATATGACCGTCAGCCCACCACGCGGTGGACGAGAGAGTCGAGCGACCGAGCCGGCCACGGTACCAGATGCCCTCTGTACACTGAGCGTAGTTATGAAACGCAAGGTAAATATAGATAATAAAGAAATAAATGAAGAAAAAGGAAATAGTGAAAAAATAAAATCTAAAGATAATGAAGTGACAGTCGAACAAAAAAACGTCTAGTATCGTTGCATAGTATATTTGAAAGTATTGTTGTGGGTCGATTACAAACGGTATTTTTACCTGAGAATTCGCCTGTTCTGGATTACTGGCGCATGTGTTGTGGTCTAACATAGAGGAAGGAGGGCAGGCATCTAGCAAACAGACAATACACACAACATATATAGTGACCACAGACAACCACTTGAATCTTGGATCACACCTCACGAACACCCGTGGGTTCAGAGCGAGATTATGTTGCGTGTATTTATTTGTACGACCAGCCTACCCGCTGTGTGACTAAATGCCAGGGTATACCGTGTGACGAACAAAACATAATAATAGGATAGAGAGTTGGATAGATGAAAATAAAATAAGGTATCCTCAAGTCTTAGCGGCGTGGCTTTGAGTAGTGTGGTTTGGTAACAAGGACACACCTGTTGTTGCAAGTCTTTGTATGGAATCAGAACCTCTTCGAACGATGTTTGTGACTGTGTAATCCAAGATAGAGTGTTCATTAGCAAAGTGTACACCAAGAGTCTTTGTGCTCCGTAGATTGCAACCGGACTCGCATTCATACATTCCGTTTTACCATCACTGACACACTTGGATCAATCCAGGATTCAATGGAAAGGAAATTTTGATTAGAAACAATATTTTTAATTAAATCCAAAGTTGTACTTTAAAAGGAATGTTTATTTTTTGGAAAGGCCAATGAGTTTCAAGGAGGCAATGAGGCAAAACGGAATGGAAAATCTAAAACACAAACTCGCAGAGCGAGTCCCGTCGCAATCGAAAGTGTACAGGAAAGATGATAAGAGGGTTCCAGAGCGAAATAGCTAGCGTCTTTCAGTAGTCACATAGCAAGTCCAAGGTGCAAACATGAAACACTCAAAGCTCTCGGTGGACGGTGAAGATACACGTCTTCACCGAACTTACCTAAGGGAGGTCGGCTCGGCGATCTCTTTGTAAAGCGATTCGATCAGGACTATTTTCGGTATACGGTCTTTTGAAGTCAATGTTCAAGTAGGACTTCATCAAACTTCGGATAGTTTACTCGACGTGAACTGATAAGCAGGACGAAACAAACTAGTTCGTGTCATGTAAGTGCCGGGTGGCTCTAACAGGGTTCTGCCTAAAGCGTGCGCATCGCTCTTCCATCATCGACGAGCCGACCGACCCGGCTTAGTATTAAAATAGGGAGCGAGGGCGAGAGCAGCAGTGGCAGCTCCGGGAAGTGTAAGGAGCAGATAGAGGGCGCTGTCGTACCTGCGCGGCGGTGCTGGTTGCGCGGCGCGGCCTGCGCCCCGTGCGCCCCGTGGGCCCCGTGCGCCCCGTGGTGCGCCACGTTCTCGCGCGGCGGGGGCGGGGGCCCGCGCGCCCCAGGACCGGCGCCGCGCCCCCGCCCCGCCCCGCGCCCTGCATTCGCGCCCGACGACATGCCCGCGACCCCTGCACCCAACACCAATGCTGATCCATCTAACCATGGATATGGCACTCAAGAAAGTCCCATTGAAAGCTTTTTGATTCAGGGATTTTTCTAAATTATCCATATAAGAGTCTATTTTATTAAATTATATTTATTCTGAAGCACCTACTTTCGTCTATAAAACTAATGTCTATAAAGCAAATAAAATATAACTTGCACACACCTTGATTGCCCTGACCAGGTGCCCCGTACTGGTCGTTTGCATCGGCGAGGAAGTTGCTCGGAACAAGACCACGAACGCCGTCAATTTCAGCCATGTAGAACCCATCGTCATCCATGTCTCCGTACACGTGGATGATTTGACCCGTTTGGAAGCTCAGCTCAGCCTGGAAAAGTTTCTGAGTGACAAAAAATCAATTTTGAATGAAATGTAGAGTTGGTAATACTACAATAGAATACTAAAAGGATATAAACATTTAGAAATAGCATCTGAACATTAAGAATAATATAGTGTATAGGATAGAATTACAAGACAGGGAAAAGTAGACTTGACATAATTATATAAAAAATCAGAACAGACATCATCAATAGGTAACGGGACAAAACACAAGAAAGAGCAATTAAGCACATATCGAAAATTGAAGCTAAGAGGAACAATGGCAAAACATTCCTGAAGGTAACGGAGCAATAAGAGATTGACAGGACAGTGTAGATCACTTAAAGCTTTTTTCAGTTGTTCACACATAAAAGTTATTGGCAAAACCAAAGAAGCTGGTCAACTCACCAGTGAATAATATCCGTGAAGGTTTCATAATTTTCTCGAAAAATGTCTAGAGTGATTACGGTTATAAATTAAAAGAAATGAAGGCCTACGATTTCTCTCTTCCATATTGAAGGCCAGTGTGTGTGGAGTCTCTAGCTAAATGTTCTTATTTAATTATTATTTTGTGTTGAAGGAAAGAAAGAAGAAGTATACTTACATCTGCATCCACATTGGGACTGAGTTCCTGAGGGTCGTAGTCGTAGAGTGCGACCATGCGTCTTACTGGCTGGTTGGCATAGGCGTCGGCCCAGCGGTCTCGCTTGGGAGGCTGGCCAGTGACCTCTTGTTCCGACACTTCCATCACCATGTTGTGAGGCACGTAGCCACGGCGACCTCTACACTCGCCCCAGTAAAAACCGTCGCCGTCTTTGTCACCCCAAACCTGAGAAGTTAAATCATTTTTCGTTAATCACTGCTAAATATAGAATTTTTACTAGAATTTAATAAACGAAATTTTAGTTTAGGCTTCTCACCTTTATAGTATCTCCTTCACTGAAGGGTAGTTCTTCGTCACAGCTTTCAGGGTTCGGGCTCATGGTGGTTGGGTCGTAGTCAAATAGGGCGATGAAGTAGCGGCTTCTCTTCGACTGAGGATGGGCTTGCGCATGCCTGGCGCCCGGCTGGGGCCCGCGGGGCCCCGGCGGCGGGCCCCCGCGCGCTGTGTACTGCATGCCGCTGCCTTGCTGGTTCTGTTGCTGCTGCTGCTGTTGTTGTTGTTGTTGCTGCTGTTGTTGTTGCTGTAGGTTACAATAATATTCTTGTTAAATATAGATGATGTCACTTATCATTCAAGGAAAGAGTGCTTTTCACAGTAAAGGGGTCAACACATAATTGAATTGGAAACAAAGGGGTCTAAAGTGTAATAGAATGGAATGCATGCCTGCTCGTTGTGATGTCCGACCTGGTGAGGATTAGGAGGGCGGCCTCGCTCGTGGTGGTTGCGGGGAGGAGGGTTCTGGTACTGCTGCGGCGCGCCGGGGCCCCCGCCCGCCCCGGGGTACGCCGGGTTACTTTGGAACTGGCCGGCTGGTGGATATTGGGGTTGCTGCGTGCCATGGTAGGCTTGTGTACTCGGGTACGGCTGACCCGATTGCTGCTGCGACGCTTGCGTTGGTTGGGACGGTTGCTGCTGACGTCCGTACGAACCAACACATTAATAAGGTTAGATTTTCCATAACAAAGCCAACAGCAATCCAACAAGCTCATAGCCATTATCCTCAGTGGCGTTGCGTCTCAAAGCGATATAAATATTACCTTTTCCTCGGACGATAAGAAAAACAAGACATTCCGTTGTAGCTCTAGTCAACCCCCATGCACAACGAAAGCTAGCGTGCAGCGCTTACACTTGAAACCACATCATTCATAGCAGATATAATTATAAACAGTCGGTTCCAAATGTGCTTGTCACAAGTTTAATAAAACAAAAGTTAAATTGAACTTCAACATTAACGGAAAGTTTCGTCAACCGATGTCCCCTCATAAACTGATTACCTTATCTGTTAACATAGAGACATTGAAGTGTGGGAGGTGTGTGAGAGGAGTCAGTGTACGGCATTGATACGCGTCGAAGCCAAGACAGCATGCAGGAACAATATACAAACACGCGCGGAACATGCTCCAGTGTGGGGTCTGTATCGAGTGCTCTGTGCCTACCGCCTAGCTCCTCCTATCTGTCGGACGCGTGTGTGGCGGACCAGTGTGGTGTGTGGCGAACATCAAGGACGGTACAGTAAGTGAAGATGACAACACAGAACACCGAGAAGTGAAACTCAGAAACTCGTGATCGGGAGATCGTACAGAATTGAGAGAAAGAGAGCATAGTGAATAGTGCTAGCACATGGAGAGCACATCGATGGCTAGGAGAGATCGCAGACCTGCGGGCGGCGGCGCGTCGCCTCCTCGTCCTCGCTACCAGGCTCCGTCGTGCTCTCTTTAGTGATTTCGATGGCCGGTATCCCCGATTGCTAATACCACACGGTCATTCAATATTTTAGCATATACACAGTTGGTTTAGTAGCGACACAAAATATAGTGAGTAATGGTTGTGCTGATATGAGCGATATTGATGACTATGGTGCTCGCAATATATCGACGTGTTCTTGCTCCTCAGTGTGGGTACTTCTTGAGATTACTTTATTACTTTGTAAGCAAACAGGAGTACACGATATATAAGTACGGAAAGATTAAGCGGTTCAGTAGAAGCTGCTTAAGAGTGACTTACATAGTAGTTATCACCACAAGTTAATATATCAGGCGTTAGAGCAAGTGAAGCCTGTACAGGAAGCTGAAGTGGAAAATAGAAGTTCACTGCCGTGTAAGCGATCGGCTTTCATTCGACGTGATTCGAACCTAGTGTCAGACGCACGATTGTTTAGTATCTTCACGTTCGGTTACATTGATGATGTGTTAATGTCCACCGCCCGAATACTAAAACGCTACGTATTCATTTCATTTAACTCATGCTGTCTCAGTCACCGTATGCTATGTAGCCACTAACTCCGTAAAGTATGGTGGCGTTTGAATATTTGGGCATATGAGTGATGTTATGTCTATGAGTCGTGAACTGTAATGAAAAATCTTTTAACGCAATAACTTGAATCGACCACACCTAAGTTATAATATTAAGTGGTTTATATTTCATAGCAGTATTGTAAAGGAACCCTTTCTATTGAAGCTATTATTTACTTGTAGTAAGTCTATCTATGTTTCTTGAAAATCGTACAACTGCTAAACAGTGTCTCGATTCCAAAAGTTAGTCTTCTTTATAAAATATATATGCATTTAGCTAGGATACTTGTTTACTACATATTTTTGTCTACTTTCAGATAAATATAAAAGCATACTCAAAGTAAATATTGTCTTCATATGCTGATTATATGGCTACAATATTGTATTATGACACTATTTGTATATATACGGGCACACTGTGTTATAATAAAATATTCAATCAAAAATAATAAAAGAAAATAATTATATTTTACATAACTAATAACCAAAAAATAACGCTTTAAAAACTAAAATAAAATTTCATAGAACGCTAAATAAAACAGTCGTGTGTAAATTCCAGAATTAAATAAATAATGATAAATATGAAAAGACGTGTTAAAATTCCTTACCGAAGGGGTTATTTTGTCGAATATACTCTTTAGGAGGCCTGTGCCGAATCCACTCGTAGGCTATGGAAAGGTGTATAACAGTTATGTGAGAGAGCGAGGGTAAGGTTACACTAAGTGGCATGATCACATCTCATGGGCGGTATTGTCTGTGTCACAAAGTACAACCTTTTTATCTGTTCTAAGTTGTATTTGTATGGTGTCGTGCGTTGTCGGGTATCGGCCAATAGCTCTAGAGACTACGGATCTAGTCGCAAGCAGTATGCATTTAATTTTGAACGATCGAGCCGAGTGCATAGCTAGAGTCGATGGCGCGGTGGTCGTGTCGTGAAACCGTCGGCAGAGAACTAAATACTGGACATTTAGAAGATGCCAGCGACAGAACCACAGGAGATAGTATAAAGAGTGCAGTTTGCAACACCGATGTCACGCAACAAACTGTCTGCACACACAAACTGCGTACTACTGCTACTGAACGTTAATGTCACTGTGGAGGCAACGGAGGTGGACAAGTTGCAGGAACAGACAATTTGTTGCGCAAGAAGAGAGCATAATATGACACTGATCTTTATAATGATAGCTAAGAAGACACAGACGAAGAAAATTATCAGAGTTAAAATCAAAAATATAAAGCACATATTAAATACTTAATCAACGTCTCAACGAAATAAACTGGCAAAATGAAACTTGACGTTACACACAAATGTACAACATTGATTTGCAAACCAAATAGACAAAGGCTATGCCGATCAACATTAATCTCAACACATTATAATACTCAAGAGGTCAAGTTTAAAAATTTTGACAAAGTTTCAAAATTCCAATTCTGATAGCAAAATAAAATTCAATAAATGTGTGAAATATAGAAAACTATGAATGTAATATTTTTGAAATTCAAAATTGTATTTATAGCCAATTCGATGGGACAGAGAATCCATTGTATTAGACATAGCGAGATATTATTACAAACATCGTAAAGGGACAACAGATAGGATAGATAAAAGTGGTTGATCACCTGAGCTGCGTGTGGGTCGTGGCGGTTAGCAGATGGGAATATCTCCTTATCGGAGAGATTCTCATCGTGCTCGATAACTTGCTGGTGGTGCTGGTAGGGCTGGGGGCGCTGCACGGGGCCGCCCCGGTACCCTACGGGGCCCGGCTGGTTGGGCCCCGGCCCTGGCCCGCGCGGCATGCGCGTCGCTACACCGCGCAGGACCGCGGGGGGTATCGGCGTCGGTGCACTGTCACTAGACTGACTGTCTCGAGACTTTGTACGTACCTGGAAACAACAACATGGCCATAACAATATAATCATTTAATTAGTTTCTCAACACAAATGTAAACAATTAGATAAACGTCTCCATATATCTATTTGCTAACATAGCGTTCACATAGCCAAATCAAGCTCCATACAGCCATACTCACGGTGACACATTTAGGATTGAGGCCGATCAGTTTGCCAATGTCGATGAGAGCGTGGTCACCGGTTGGAGAATCCACGTCGGTCACCTTCTTGCCATCGGCGTACACAGCGTACCCAGTGACGGGGCCCGAGGCGGGCGGGCGCAGGACCGGCTGCCAAGTCACCAGCAGGGTCCCGTCCTGAGGTCCCGCTTCCACCTGCGACACCGCACCAATCACCACCAACAATCCAGCCAACAAACGTGAGGCAAGCCAATTGGTTCCAACTTTGTTAACATGTGGGCCAACGTTGAACTAAGCCACATCGAGGGAGTAGCTGACATTACAAATGGGGGTCGCTAAGCTAACAACGAGGTGAGCGTTGGGATATGTCAATATAATTTTCCTGGAGCTGGATTTATGGTTGCGATTGACGCGACTTCCTCGAGACGTGCTGTGTGCTTTGAGGTTGTGAATTATTTGAAAGGAATAGAGGTGTATCAGTCGGACTCTGTGAGTTTCGGATTGTATCATCACACTGTCGTGGAGCATTGGAAAGCTACCTTGTGCGTGCTAAAAACGCTCACATAGTTACGGTCATGAAAAGCATTATTTAATGTATTTTTTTATTATTCTAAGAATGTATAATTTTCCACTATCCACTGTGTGATGGGTATAATTCTGATTCCTGACTAAATAGATACATATAACATCAGCGAGCAAGGATTGTGAGTGTAAGATGTAGGTATAGTTTGGATATCCAAAAAGCATGCTCAAATCACGTCATGCTGACTGTTGGAGTTTATACTATTCACGTACCATAATTTCATTTGGTGGGTCCGGCAGTCCCTTAGGCAGAGTTCTGAAGTCTGTGTAAGCTCCCGGAGCCTCTTCAATCGGAATCCCAGACTGTGGTGGACCAGCTCTTAAATGCTTAGCCCTTACGGTTACCCGATACTGTGTGCTTGGTGATAAACCTGTGATAGTATGACGGTACACCCCTGGTTTCACTGTTCGAACCTGTAATCAATAGTACCGTGTGTAGTCCGTTCCTCGTGACGTCTATTCAAGTTTACCTTAACGAGTGCTTACTTCAACATTATTAACACAGACGACGTGCTGGTGGTTTGAGTTAGCCGGTAGCCACGAGATCACCGCCTGGGAGCAGGTCACTCCACTGGCCCTGACACAAGTTGGGCCCATGTTGGCTGTGTCTCTACCGATCACCATTGTGCAAGCTGCGTCTCTTGATGTGCGTCGTGATACTGTCACCGACCGCACGCTGATGCGATGCGGCTTTAGAAATAAAAGTATCATAAAACTGGTGAAACCTTTATAACTTATTACAATATAAATACAGAAATATACAATCTATAAGCAACAATGAAATCGAAGACAATCTAAATGAATTTGTGCTCACTGGTAACATGTAAAAGAGACTACCATTGAAACAGAAGTAGCAGCTAATTTAACATCGAAACAAACTCACCCGATTTGAGTCTACTCCTTCCACGAGCGCTCGTGTGCGTTCTGAGGCCTTGACAGTCGTCTTGAGGACTCCATCGACGTACACGTGGTAGCTCTCGATGTTGGCTTGCTGCACTCCTTCAGGAGCAGTCCAGCCGATGAGCACGGACTTGTTGAGCTGCCTCTCCAGTGTGAGCTGCCTCGGAGCCGGCACTAGCGACGAGAAAAACAGCTCGGCTGTTGAGGTCCGAGGGAACATCGCGAGGAGTGCGGCCAGGCAGGCGAAGTGCGTGAGAATGCGAAGAAGCGTGCAGCGAAGTCCAGGGATAGGAAAGGGGGAAGGATAAAGGTTCGACTATAGAACTATTTCTAGAAAAATGATCATTTACGAAGACCGTCATAGGTCGTTTGTGTAGCGTTGAATTTGAATCACTGTGCCAAGCGTCATGGTTGTTTGAAACTATGTGTTATGATAGTTCAGGTGCTCGATGCGTTTGGATTGCATGCGTATGTAAAACTTCGCTCAATGAAGTAAACTGGTAGTTAACTTACATTTTACTTCTATAACTAGACTTGCTTCTAAATCTTTCCAATTAAATTCTAATAAAACATTTCGGAATGATTACTAGATTTTGAATACTGTCTAGACTATGTTCTATGTTTGTGCCAATTGTATTCTATGTAAGGAGTTATATGTGTGGATGCTTACCATTATCATCGTCTTCTGCTCCATCGCTTAACTCTGCAACTTCGCTTAAACGAGCGACATCGCGACTGATAGACAGTTCGCTTATCGCCGTAGTTGCTTCATCAACATCTCTCAATGTCGACACAATCGCCTGAGGGTAAAGAGTAAATATGTATGAAAACATTTTGTTGCTGAATTAAATATTGTGCACAGCAGTAAATCATGTGACAACATAAATACACTCAAGTTTTTGAAGCACAACAAATGGTCCATCAAATAAACATTAAAATTTAGGAACTATTCAAAAAAATCTATGATTTACCTGATGGAATTCTAACAGGTCATCTCCAATCAACCTTTGGACGAAGTTGGCGGGTACCAAGCCACGGCGTCCATCCAATAATTCGGCGTCAAGCATCGATGCATTCGGGTCTGGGGGGCCCCATACTAGTAAATAGTCCCCAGCACTTATCGACAATTCACCTTCTGCACTCTCAATCCTAAAAATATTATCACTTATAATGACACTTTCAATTTAATGCCATCTTAAATTCAAGTAAGCTTCATACTTACTCAGGAGGATCGTAAGAGAAACGAGCGATGTACACACAACAGCGACCCTTCCCCGGTATATCCAACATGTCAACTGTCTCTGTGGCGCCATTCATATAGTGTGATGAATTGCGAACTGAAACATGTGCGCCACTGAAAACGTTTTCCTTTTACAAAGAATACGAAGAAAATTGAATTTCACTCACCTTCCAAATCCATGCCGGTGTTAGGCATAATCCGTGCGATAGCTCGTTGGTTCCGATCGTGGCTGAATCCGGAGTCTAAGCCTAGTCTATCAGTTGCAAATTGGCTATCTAAACCTAAATTCCAGGTGGGTTGGTGAGGCGTGACCGGCGTGGCCACCCGCCCCACTCCCGCCGTGTTCGCATATCTACTGATACCGAGGTCTATATCATCTAGAGGTTTAAGTTTTATATTCATAGGATTTGTTCCGAGACCGCCGGAGAGGAGGGGATTTGTATACGTCCCTGTCCCAGTTCCGTAAGCGCTCGTAGCCCCTAAACTTGTATTAAGCCCTCCAAGTTGCGTTCCGGTCAAGTTCGAGAGAGCATTTCCTAACCCACTAGTTAATGTCGACGGCAGTCCACCCAACGTACTCGTCAGTCCGCCTGATAGATTGGTTTGCGCATTGTTCAAGCAGCTAGTTAAGCCTGAGCCGGATATAGTCCCCGTCATGCCGGGAGCGATGCCGGTGCCCAGGTTGAGGGATGTCACATTACCAGTTAAGTTTTGTAAGTTACTCTGTAGTCCAGCTAGTGTGCTTGAGATTTGACCGATATTGTTGACGAGTGGTGCTGTGACGGGGTTGGTGAACGTGACTTGGTGGGTGTTGGGGAGGCCGTAAGTATTGGAGTAGGCGGACACGGGGTTCGAGTACGAGGTCGGGTTGTGCGCGCTCATGGAGTATGCGACGGAGTTGGAGCTGGGGGCCGTGAACTGTCCGGTGGCGTGGAGCGAGGACAGCGTGGGCATGGTGCTGCTCTGGCAAATAGCGGCGTGGCCTGCCGTGCTGCCGTACGAGTGAGGCAGTGGTGATGGAGTCGGGGAGTGGTACTCCCCTAACGCCTGGTTCGATCCACTCGATTGGATACCTGACAAACCATAAGATTCTTCAATATTATTTTCTCCAATGTTTTATCTATAAAAAAAATAATGAGACTGCTAGAAATTAAGTTGATGAACATACCATGAGTGGTCGACCTCGTGTGTTCTAATTCAGCAAGGATGCGGTTGTCCTGCTCGATCTTGGCCATGATCCTCTCGATCTCAGAGGCAGGTTGTGCCGACTGGTTGGACCACGTGGTGACGCCACCCTGGCCACGCGCGCGCAATGCTGCCGACAGTTCTAGCTGAAGCTCTTCGCACCGGACTGTCTCTAGGGCAGCCTGGAAAGGAAATAATGATAAGTTTCTGATATTGAACCATGATCTTAAAAAACCCAATGGTTGTAAGCACAACTGTCGATTGGTTTCAGTTTCGATTGCTGACTGAACCAATCATGCATAATAATTAGAAAGGTATTTTTTTGGTTTTTTCGATATAATTATGTATACGTAGGTAAATTCTCAGTACTAACAATAAGTATGAAATATAAACAGAACGGAAATGATAAGGTATAATCTAAAGGTAATTTTCCTTTCAGGTGCTAAAATGGCATATCAACGTGTCAGGTTAGTGTCACCTTTTTCTCAAGTTCCCTGGCTCTAGACTGTAGTTGTTCGACGTTGTGCTGGTCTATGGGCGATCGTTGTGCGGCGCGGAGCTGGGCCAGTGCGTCCGCGTGCGCTCGCTCAGCGTCTGCGCGCGCCCGCTCCGCGTCCCGCAGCCGCCGCGCCAGCGCATCTGTGTCACCGCTACCCGACATACTTGTGCCGTACCCACTCATTTTCTGAGAACAAAGATAGAGTTTTGTAAGTAGGTAATTATTAAAATATATAAATATCATAAATTCATCAGAAACGAGGTTTCTACTCAGGTTTCAGTTCATTTTGGTTGCAGTGGTAAATAAACGCTCAAAAATACAGAATAGTCCTGCTGGCAAACATCTCCGAAATAAAATTTGTTAATTATTACGATGTAGAGAAAATGTTGTCTTCATTGTGTAAAATTTAATACCTAATAAGCAAACTAAAACAACATAGTTACCTAATTAAATACTTTCTTGAAAATCCTAGCTTCACAAAAAACGGAAACAAAACATATCGTAAAGTTAGTAACGAAAGAGGTTGGAATACAAAACTAGTACTACAACAACTTCTTACTTTTTGTTCGCTTCTACCTATTTCCTCGTTGAATAACAAGCGTGATGTTATACTATTTACTTTATTCCAGGAATAATATTATATTTATGCAGAAGAACAAGATGAAAGATACTTAATGTGAATTCCATAGAGTAAACAATTAAAAAAACATAATTCGTAGCATTGCTACGAAACTTCGTAGCGATGGCTCGTAGCTGCTACGAAACCCCAATGAGGATATTGTTTTTGAGCTCAGACCATAATTTTGATGTACAAGTGACAACAGACCGTATTCTGGACCTAGACAGCGATCTTAAATCGTAGATATCAAAAGCCACTAATCTGGACTAGGAACGGGGTGGTTTTTAGTCAGTAAGAGTCTGACACTCCATCTTGCCTAACCCAAGGCGGGAGAAGTAATTGGACGAATTTCCCAACGAAAAAAAAAACACATGGGCAAAATAAAGGGTGATGACAAATGTATTCTACTCTGCCGGCTTTAAAATAGGAACGAGAACTAGTATTAAACTGTCAAACACCAAGCGGTCACCGGTGACCGCAACCTATTGTTCTATAATTGTGTCTATAATGACGGTACTCGACGAGTTAATTGAAGTTAAATAATTAAAAATGTAAAACATCGAAAAACTATTTACTCAATTCATCGAAAACAACTCAACAACCGCCCGATAAGTTGTAAAACATTTATCGAGCCGACTAGAGGGGAATATTTTATCGATTTTATGTTAAATTCGAGTCGATAGCGATGCCCGCCCTTCATGGTTATTGACGTCACTCGATAACTCGACCTAGGTACCTATCGATATTCGATGGGCAGACGATAATCACAACACTTTACGAACGATGTATTATGAGTAGGTATTTTTATAGCATGTTTTAAAAATTTTCCAATGAAAAATTAAAGTATATTTTTTTTAAAACGTTACCCCACATTATGATTTTCTCCTGTGTCGTGGGTGCGTTTACAAACATACAAGTTCACATACACAATGACACCTAGGCCCGAAACAACAATTTGTGGATCACACAAAGTGTTGTTCCGTGCAGGAATCAAACCCGCGACACGTTGTACGACATCCGGTTGTCCAGCCACCGCACCAACCGTGCAATCATTGTTTTAACAGAAGTTTAATTAGTTGTGTTTTAACAGAGACTTAAGATACGCTTGCAACCGCCATACGATAAGTTTCAGGTTCTATGATGCCAACTACGACAACGTATATTACAAATGCGAAAGTAAAATTGTTTGTTTGTTTCTTTGTCTTTTGCCACTTTACTTATGAACTGATCTTGTTGAAATTTCGAAATTGAGAATGAGCTAGAGTATGGAAGAGATGGACTAATTCACGCTGGTTAAATATCTAATCCTATTAAAATTATAAATAGGAAAGTCTGTTTGTTACTGCTTCACATCAAAACGGCTGAAGGGATCGGGGTAGATTATGGTCTGGAATAACAAATAGGCTGGCAGAACCTGTAATAAATAGTGTGGGAGAGCCATGCTTCGACACGAATGGGCCGACCGGAGTGATACCACGGCCTCACAGAAAACCGACGCGAAACAACGCTTGCGTTGTGTTTAGTCGTGTGAGTGAGGTTACTGGAGAATGGCCAACCTATTCCCCCCTCTCCTCCAGTCCCTGAATCCCCAACAATCCTGAAATTCCTAATCTCAAAAGGCTGGTAAAGCACTTGCAACGATTCTGGTGTTCCAGGTGTCCATGGGCGACGTCGACTGCTTACCATCAGGTGATCCGTCTGCTCGTTTACCGGCTTATACCATAAAAAAGAGTTCAATTCTCAAACAAAAAATATCTTTCCTATTAAACAATCATCAATCACGATCATTATCAACAGCCAGTGATAATACTTAACTATATACATAACATCACACCTTTTATCCCCGATGGGGTAGACAGAGGTGCACATTATGCCACTGTACAATAATTAACTTAACTATATATTAGTGTCATATGTCAAAAAAATAAGTGGATAATGATGAAATAAAATTAATAACAGCTACCAAACTCGACACTGGCAGTATAGTCGACAACATCGTCTTGGAGACTCGGTTGCCAAAGAAGAAAAAAAAACAGCTACCAAAAAATAACATGATACGACAATCGACATCGTACAATTAATATAAAAAAGGTCAAGTAAGAAATATCGATTATTTCGAACAACCCTAGCTACCGTGCTAGGCTGAATAAATAACTAAATATTGCCCTCTGAGGCCGACCTTGGGCCGTTGCCTAATGAATAGGACCCAAACATGTCTCGACGGATGATTTTATGCAAGATGGATTAAGTAAGGGTTAGCATGACATTACGTTATCCAGTCAATCTTGTTGGCTATACATACATACATATGATTTTTTTGTATTCTTTGCAAATGTATTTTGAGAATATTTGCGAGATTAATATTGTGACTATCTTTTTTGATAGTAAGTTATGCTTCTAGTTTTTATTAGGTACTGTTGAGATTGAAAAATCTAATAATTTCATTTTCTGTACAGCATAAGTCAAGAGACGTTTTGTCGATACGGTATTTGTATTGTAACTTTCGTGAGACATACTAAATAAATTGTTATGTTTTCGGCTTACTCACGTAATAATTTGACGAGGAACTCGACTAGTTTCAAGCCATGCTAGAGGCTCATATTCATGAGCAGCATTTCGCAACCCGCGACGCGGCGACTGTCGCGCTGCTGCTCTCTCTGTGGGTCTATATCTATATACTATGAATGAGCCTCTAACATGGCTTGAAACTAGTCGAGTTCCTCTTCAAATTACTACGTGAGTAAGCCGAAAACATAATAATTTATTTGATACAGTATTTGTTTGAAATAAATCAGCTCAAGTCTGCCTCGTTGGCCAAGTGGTCGCAAGTGCGACTACCGGGCAAGGAGTAGCACTCAGAGCTACTACTGAAATTTTTTTTTAAAACCCAGTAATACTTTGGCCTACCCGGGAATAAGACCCCTTACTAAGCAGTCGCACTTGCGACCACTCGGCCAACGAGGCTTGGGAATAACACTCATGTAAAAGGTTATTACTTTTTGATTGGATAGGAGGCAAAGGAGCAAACGAATCACTCGATTGTAAATGTTTATCATAGTCATAGCACACAGCAAAGCTAACGGAGTTACAAGTACGTTACCGGCTCTTTAAGGGCTCGTACACAAAACTGCGATGCGAATTCGTAACGCAGAAAATTACGATGCGAATTACTGCGTTGCGATTTCGTGTGACAAGGCGTCTCCCTCGTCTGACCATTCCTTCGACGACCGTCAACCGTATTAAACATATTTTAAATTGAAAACTAGGTCGTGACATGGATCGTAAAAAGAAGTGTGCACTTCTGTTATTGCTTAGGAGATACAGGAAAAAGGAACACAGAAGATTTTGGGAAGATAAGATTTTGATGCGTGATGCGAATCAATTCGCAAGTTCTTGCGATGCGTAGAGGGAGCTCGCACATTTTTGCGATGCGACGTCACATCGCAGTTTTGTGTACGAGCCCTAAATGGAGAAACACAACTCTTTGAATGTTTCATGCCAGTTTAGACAGCGTGGTATCACTCCAGTCGAGACGGCCCATTCGTTCCAAACCATGACTATCCCACGTGTAAAAAAAAATACTTATCTTTATTATCATTGCCAACTAATCCTGTGTTTTATCATATTTATGTTTGACTAGCTGTTGCCTGCGACTATGTCCGCGTAGAATATGAATTATAAGAAACGTTTTTTTAATTCAATTTTCCAAAATAAAAGTACCCTATGTTAGTCCTTAGTAAGTACATCAGCCAATAAAAGTCCTGTTAAAGTCCAGCCATTCCAGAGATTAGCCAGTATAAACGGATTAACAAACAGGCAATAATTGGAAAAAAACATACGGTATGGGTATCGTATGCATGAAGTAATAAAAAGAAGCATATATACGGTCGAATTGACAACCGCCTCCTTTTTTGAAGTCAGTTAAAAAGCGGTTATTTTAATATAACAAACAGTCATTACAATTTTCTTTATCTGTACAGATAAATTTGTATGCTATCAATAGATTGTCCACCTTATATTACATGCGTGTTATCATGATGAAAAAATGTTCGATCAAACAGTATAAACAGGGAACTAATTTTGTCTATATACATCAGACGGTTGTAGCTTAGAATAAATTTGTAATATAAATAGGCTTATACATCGCTCGTAGAAATGAAATGAAATGAAACCTTTATTTGTGATACATAGGTACATTTGATTGGTCATTTTTAGATTGAAGTGCGCTATCAGCCTATTTTTTATAGTTTAAGCCAGTAAACGAGCATACGGATCACCTAATGGTAAGCAATCGGCGCCGCCCATGGACACTCGAAACACTAAGACGTTACAATTGCGTTACCGGCCTTTTGGGATTTGGGAATTTGAGGATTGTGGAGGATTCGGGGATTCGGGAGACGGGGACTAGGGTAATTGGGCCTCCGGTAACCTCACTCACACAACGAGACACAACGCAAGCGTTGTTTCACGTCGGTTTTCTGTTAGGCCGTGGTATCACTCCGGTCTAGCCGGCCCATTCGTGCCGAAGCATGGCTCATATGTGATAATAATTTAGGCATAGATACAA